TAACGAGAGTTTAACTTCTTCCTTTCCAATTCGAATCCCCTTGATCCCCTTATGTTGTCTTATTGCTATTGCTAGAACTTCAAGCACTATATTGAAGAGGTATAGAGAGAGTGGACAGCCTTGTCGTGTTCCTGATTTTAGTGGAATGGCTTTGAATTTCTCTCCATTTAATTTGATGTTAGCTGTCGGCTTGCTGTAAATAGCTTTTATTATTTTTAGGTATGAACCTTGTATCCCTAATCTCTCCAACACCTTTATCATAAAGGGGTGTTGAATTTTGTCAAATGCTTTTTCAGCATCTAATGAAATGATCATATGGTTTTTTTCTTTCAGTTTATTTATATGATGGATTACATCATATGATAGATTTGCATATGTTGAACCAGCCCTGCATCTCTGGGATGACGCCTACTTGATCATAATGGATAATTTTTCTAATGTGTTCTTGGATTCGGTTTGCCAGTATTTTATTGAGAATTTTCGCGTCAATGTTCATGAGTGAGATTGGCCTGTAATTCTCTTTCTTGATTGTGTCTTTGTGTGGTTTTGGTATCAGAGTAACTATAGCTTCATAAAAAGAATTTGGCAGTGACTCTTCTGTTTCTATATTGTGAAATACATTAAGGAGTATAGGTATCAGCTCTTCTTGGAAGTTCTGGTAGAATTCTGCATTGAAACCATCTGGGCCTGGGCTTTTTCTGGTAGGGAGGTTTTTGATAACAGCTTCTAATTCTTCGCGACTAACAGGACTATTTAGATTGTTCACCTGGTCTTGGTTCAACATTGGTATATGGTAATTATCTAAAAAAATGTCCATTTCTTTTACATTTTCCAATTTTGTGGCATACAGGCTTTTGTAGTAAGATCTAATGATTCTCTGAATTTCCTCTGTATCTGTGGTTATGTCCCCCTTTTCATTTCTGATCTTATTAATTTGCGTGTCTCTCTCTGCCGTTTGATTAGTTTGGATAGGGGTTTGTCAATCTTGTTGATTTTCTCCAAAAACCAGCTTTTTGTTTCATTGATTCTTTGGATTGTTTTCTGTGTTTCTATTTTGATTTCAGCCCTTAGTTTGATTATTTCCAGTCTTCTACTCCTCCTGGGTGAGTCTGCTTTTTTTTTTTCTAGAGCTTTCAGGTGTGCTGTTAAGTCTCCAATCCAATGTGTGCTTTCTCTGTTTTCTTTAATTGGGCACTTAGTGCTATGAACTTTCCTCTTAGCACTGCTTTCATAGTGTCCCATAGGTTTGAGTATGTTGTGTCTTTATTTTCATTAAATTCAAGGAAGACTTTAATTTCTTTCTTTATTTCTTCCTTGACCCAGGGGTGATTCAGTAGTTGACTGTTCAGCTTCCATGAGTTTGTAGGCTTTCTGGGGGTAGCATTGCTGTTGAAGTCTAACTTTAGTCCATGGTGATCCGACAAGACACAGGTGGTTACTAATATTTTTTTGTATCTGTAGAAGTTTGCTTTGTTATCGAATATGTGGTCATTTTTCAAGGAGGTTCCATGAGCTGCAGAGAAGGTATATTCTTTCCTATTTGGGTGGAATGTTCTATAGATGTCTGTTAAGTCCATTTGATTCATTGCCTCCATTAATTCTCTTACTTCTCTGTTAGGTTCCTGTCTGATTGACCTGTCCATTGGTGAGAGAGGTGTGTTGAAGTCTCCTATTAGTGTATGTGGTTTGATGACTGCCTTGAGTTCTAGAAGTGTTTCTTTTACTTAAGTGGGTGCTTTTATATTAGGGGCATAGATATTCAGGATTGAGACTTCCTCCTGATGAATTGTTCCTGTTATGAATATGAAATGTTTATCTCTATCTCTTCTGATTGATTTTGGTTTGAAGTCAATTTTGTTAGAAATTAGAATGGCCACACCAGCTTGTTTCTTAGGTCCATTTGCTTGAAAAACCTTTTCCCAGCCCTTTACTCTGAGTAGATGTCTGTCTTTGTGGTTGAGGTGTGTTTCTTGTAAACAGCAGAATGTTGGATCCTGTTTTCGTATCCAATCTCTTAGTCTGTGCCTTTTTATAGGTGAATTGAGTCCATTGATATTAAGTGATATTAATGACCAGTGGTTGTTGACTCCGATTAGTTTTTTTATTTTTTCTTGGGTAGGGTAGTAAAATTTGTATGTTTCCCTTCTTTTAACTTGTGCTTGTGAAGGGTCACTAGATGTCTGAGTTATTGTAGGCAGTGTTGGCAATGTTGGATTCCTTGGGTTGTGATTTTTTTTCTATTACTTTCTGTAAGGCTGGATTTGTGGCTATGTATTGTTTAAATTTGTTTTTATCTTGGAATATTTTGTTTTCTTCATTGATAGTGAACAATAGCTTGGTTGGTTATAGTAGTCTGGACTTGCATCCATGGTCTCTTAGTTTCTGCAGTACCTCTATTCAGGACCATCTGGCTTTCATGGTTTCCATAGAGAAGTCCAGTGTAAGTCTGATAGGTTTACCTTTATAAGTTACTTGACCTTTTTCCTTTGTAGTTCTTAATATTTTTTCTTTAATCTGTATGTTTTGTGTTTTATTATATGGCGAGGGGATTTTTTTTTTTTTGATCCAGTCTATTAGGTGTTCTGTATGCTTCACAGGAATATTATTCTTTAGGTTGGGAAAGTTTTCTTCTATAATTTTGTTGAATATATTTCCTGGGCCTTTGATCTGCAATTCTTCTCCTTCTTCTACCCCTATTATTCTTAGGTTTGGTCTTTTTATGTTTTGTGATGAGAATTTGTTGGATTTGCTGTTTTCTTTGATCAGAGTGTTTATTTTCTCTATGGTGTCTTCAGAATCTGAGATTCGTTCTTCTCTCTCTCTTGTATTCTGTTGGTTATGCTTGTTTCTGTAGTCTCTGTTCGTTTACCTAGATATTCCATATCCAGCTGGTCCTCTGTTTGTGTTTTCTTCATTACCTCCATTTCAGTTTTCAATTCTTGAACTGTTTCCATTACCTGTTTGATTGTTTTTTTCTTGGTTTCCCAGGGTATCATTTACAGATTCACTCATTTCTTCAAACTTTTTGTTATATTTCTCCTCCATTTCTTTAATGGAGTTATTCATCCCCTGTTTAAGGGACTCTTATTGCTTTCATAATGTCACTTTTTTCCACCTCTTCTGAATTAAGAGGTTCAAGTCCTTCTATTGTAGGGTCATTGGGATCTGGTGTTTTCATGTTGTTTTTCAGATTGTTGGAGGAATTCTTGCCTTGGCGCCTGCCCATCTCTTCCTTCAAATGCTCTCCAATAAATCTTCTGGTACAGGATCAGGTTCCCTTGTTGGCCAGGGACCTCTCTGACAAACGGCCTACCTTGCTGCCGGCAGGCTATTGAAACAAAGGAACTTCCCTTCTGCCCGGTTGCACTCACCACCCTGTCCCAGCCCAGCGCCCAAAGGGGCTGAGCTGGGGGATTTTATGGCCCTGAGGGAGGGAGGAAGGGAGGAAGAAGGCTAGGTGTAGCATGTGATCTTACCTTTTCTACTCATTTTTTCCTCTAATAGGTATGTTTGGGGCTGTCTGAGATTCTGTTGAATAGTCTTCTAGGTGCCAGTGAATCCAAAGCTCAGATGGTTGTTCCTCATGGTACAGTCAGTGTCACAGTTCTAGTTATCCCTTTGGTTATTCCTGTGCCCGGAGGTAGCTCGGTGCTCTGGTAGCTCGGTCTGCTCCCTTGGAGTTTGCTGGGCACCCTTCAGGGAGATGACGGTGCTGCCACCTGATTTTTCTGTCAGTGTGCAATGGTCCTTGGCCTCTTCATAGCACTTGCTTATAATTCACCCTTGAGCCTTGCTTCTTCCGCAAGTGCTTCCTTAACCACTGAGCCATCTCAAGTCCCACTATAGCACTTTTGATGCATAAAGACGGACTTCCTAGCTGGCTTTCTTCCGAGTAGGAGATGCATAGAAGTCCACAAACGAGTGAACAGAGGAGAGTGGTGCTGTATACTCCTTCCAGTTGCTTAGCTCCTTGGGTACAATGTAACTCGTAGAAGTAGCTAATGTTGCCTTTGCCTCAGGAGGCAGCTGGTTCAAAGCCACTTAGCAGATGGGTGAAGTACTCAGCTGGGTTTGATGGACACCCCCACTCTCACACTTGGGAAGCGGCCAGCCTGAGCTACCCCTCAGACCCCCAATTCTGGAATACACATGTGAGATCCAGAGCACCCAGATTTCTGTTTTGGCCTACTGCTCTTGTCTTCCTAGTAGTCTTCAGATGGTTTGAGTGTTTTGCTGCTTCTTAATCCCATGTACTTAAGGAACATAAACTTGTTAACATTAGCCATGCAAATGATTAAGGTAATAGTGGCAGAGAAACCACACTTTATAAGGTTAAAAATGACTCCCAGCATTAGCTGTCTACTATTCTGGGATGCCTCAAGTCTGTGTACTCCGCTGTTAGGTTTGAACAGCCGAGTAGATTAGCCTTGAGTTTACCCTGCTCAGTGTTGTTGGGAATATATGTGGATAGGTGCTAAAATTTCTGGCTTAACTTAAAAAAAAAGCTTAGTTTTTGTTTGTCTGTATGATATATAAGTGTACTGTGTGCCTGAGGAGGATGTAAAGGGACATCGCATCCTTTGAACTGGAGTTACGGATAACTGTGGGTGCTGTAAGAGGAATAAGCGCTCTTAACCACTGAGTCACGTCTCCAGGCCCTTAGCGTGTGTGTGTGTGTGTGTGTGTGTGTGTGTGTGTGTGTGTGTGTGTG